TTGTCCAACTTAAAATTACATGAATAGTTGGCAATTGTTTAAAAGCAAAGCAGTCTTCAATTCTTGACAGCAAAGTAAAGTGCAATGCTGCCCTCTTCAGTCCATCAAGTCATTTACAACTTAAAAAACATCCATGCTTTCGACAGAAATTTCGACACAACAGCAACATCTCTACAAGTCATTACATCAGAATATCCTTTGTACAACTTAAAATCAAATGAGTATGATTATCAAAAAATTCTATAAGACATGCTGGATGATTACAAACGGTGTTATAAAAATACATTCTCATTATCTTTGCTTGTATGAAATGGACATATCATTCAAGAATTACTGTTCGTTGTCACAGCTTTGAAGCTAAAATATAAATATCTTTCTGTCACAGTGCATATCACTAATGTATATTTACAAGGTATAATTGTAGCTTAAGAAATTGCTGTTTAATTAATAGTTGCAGGAGTGAAGATGTGAATATCAAGCAGGCTGCAATGTTAAGAATTACCATGTCAATTCATGGGCAGCATGCCATTTTGAATGATTTCAAATTATTTGAGAATTTTGCTTGCTTCTGCAGTCATGGAGTGCCCATCTACAAATGTATGCCTGAGGCAATTTTTGAAAAATATTTCCAAAGTTTAAATTGCTTATAATTTGTTCACTTTAAATATTGATTCATACATTGAGCCTTAGCATAGGTATACAATACTATACATTACAAACAGAAAAAGGGGTGCTATAACAAGTAGGGTAAATTGCTTAAAATACTATAAACTTGGATGAATGATTTCTTATGTCAATGCTTTGAGTCACTGATATCAGAAATATTGGAAATTTGCATGTAAAATGGAAGTTCAAATAAAGTTGAATTCAATTGAATTGAAAGTTACTCATATGAATAATAAGGCAGATTTCTTGTTGGTTTGAAATTCAAAAAAACATTAAAAAGATGTATTTGGTGCTATTCCAAGCATGTAATGTTTTCACTTTGGGGCTGTTCACTCATATTGTAGATCAAATAAGTACAGGAAGAAGTGCCAGTGATTGAAAATGAAGTTAAAATATACATGTCAATGCCATCTCCTTATGAAACATGTGTATTCAAGAGTATTCCTGTCATACAGTTCATTTACATATACGTGTTAAAGGTCGTTTGAAGATATGGCAATTTTCATGTGAAAATAAGAAATTCTGACAATTAAGAAACAATTTCATGTCATATGTTTAGAGCTGTAAATAAAAATTATTTGCAACGGAAAGTTGATAGGATATTTCATAAATATGTCTCATCAACTTACAATAACAAATAGAAAGATAGACATTTTGTGAGCAAATGACACTACAACTCCACTAATCTAACGAGAGTACGCTGTTCCTTAAAACATTTGTATCCATTTGCAAGTTTTTGTTTTCAGTTTGGATTTGTATGTAAGTTTCATATTTAAAAAAAGTATTCTACTAGTCCAAACCAATCCGAAAACATAACTACTTTATTTACCATCAATTAGGAACAAATACATCCATATGTCCTTGGAAAGCAGTTTGGATACCAGAACCCGAGACTGCCTTTAATACCGACTCCTCTCGGAAAAGGCTGCTTATTCATTCAGAAAGCCAAGTTTATCACATTGAGGGATAGGGTGACGAGCGGCTTCACACGCAGCCGCCTGCCTCACCGGGTCCGCTGTCACTGTCATATGACATAGATATCCCTGTTTATGCGTTTTGGGTACTCGTCATTTCGACTGTCAAGCGCAGAGCGAGCATGAATTATTGTGGAATGGAGGAGGAGGAAAAAACAGGGAAGGGAGAATTAAGTACAGAAAGATAGGAGGACAAATATGCATGATGATGATGACGGTGGCAAGAATGAGAAAGAAAGAGAGGGGGAGGGGAGAGAGGGGGAGAGAGGGGGAGGGGAGAGAGAGAGAGAGGGGGGGGGGAAGAGGGGAGAGGGAGGAAGAGGGGAGAAGGGAAGAGGGTGAGAGGGGGAAAGGTGGAGAGGAGGAAGAGATAGAAGTAAGGACGAATAATACCAAATATAATCACAAGGATGTGATTATGCTTGCAAATAATACAAGAAGAGCAAGGCAAAGAAAGAAAAGGTATATTTGTGATGCTAGGAATGGAGAAATACAAGGAAAACAGGATAGGAAAGAAATGTAAAGACACATAGGTCTATATATGAAAGGAGATGGTGTGTATGATTGTGAGAGTAAATATAAAACAGACATACAAAAATTGCTATTGATATTAACCATTTCCCAGTAAAGCCTTTCAAGAAGAAAAAATCCTCACTAAAATCACCATTTCAAGTTCAGGTCCATTATGATATCATTTGTCTAGCTTGATAATGTCAGCCACATATATAATTATTTCTATTTATTATAAGTTCTAGGAATAAGCTCTTAACAATATTCATTCTTCAAAATGTTCATTTGGGAATTGATGTATCTCTCGTCATACTGTTTGGTAGACAGAGTATTCTTCACTTAATGGCATGATTGTCTTGGGACCCATTATCTATACTTGTCTAGACTCCATATAATGGCAAAATCCTTTTTCAATTTCCTCATATTTATTTCTAGGTCAGACCATGCAGGGAAGCACCTGCATGGTCTGACCATCCATTTGCAACAGGGGTGGGGTAGATTTATGGAAATAACAGTTCATGCTCATCAACTATGTCATAACTTCAATTAAGTCACTATCAATGTTTACCCAGGGATATGTAAATTTTCAATTCCCTGATTTACCTTTGATGATTCTGTTTGAGTAGTGTTCAGAGTCAGATAAGAAAGCAACATAGGACAGAAACTATCCACAAAAAATGACAATGGGGATGTTCACATACAGTGCAATTAATGAGCTTAAAACTTCATTTTCATCACATGAGTTCAGAATCTCACTTCTTGTGCGTGAGTAAAAAAAAATCTTCTCCCAATTGTGGATGCCATTTCAAATTTGGTGAAAAAAGACTGAGATTATTTGCTGTATTCTCTGTGTTGTAGCGAATATCAGTTGAGTGCTTTGTATTACAACACAGTAAGCAAAAGTGAGATAAAATAATTTATCTTATATGCCCAATGTTTGAATGGACTAAGAAAGTGAGATTTAAATTTACATTGCGATTCAACTATTAATTAATGTCATAATTCTTTCTTACGGCCCATTCACACTGTTATTTTTTCTACTTGTCTGAATGAGCCACTATTGTCAGCAAGAAAGCGTTATGACATCAACAGTACTGTTTACACATCATGTAACTCATCACGCAACCTTGTTGGATGTTGACAGAGGGCCTCCAGTTCCAGAGTAAACATTCTTGAAGATGGCCCAGCATTTTAAGGGATCACTTACATCAACTTGCATCTTCCTCAGTAGCCAGGTTCACACAACAAGCTCTTACCTCGTTATCTGAAACGTTGAGGTTGTATTTTAGTTAAGGACTGTGTGGATGCACCTGTGGTTTCAGAAACTTAAATTTCAGATGTGATTTTAAACCACAAGCAATCTTATCATTGATGTGAAAACTAAGAACATGCCGAAAAATTAAACTTTTAAAATCATTTTGTTACAAGGTACATTACCTGTGATAGCAATTCAAGCAGAAAGCTACTTTTGGTTTACATTTGATAAGACAAACAAGGCAATGGAAAACTAGAGTTAGAGTGCAGGTCACAATAAATTTAAAAAAAATTGACAATGTAGATAAATCAACAAATGACTGTAATGGACGAAAATGACTAAATTTATAGTTCAATTAAAAATTGAAATATGGGAAAATTTAAATGTACATTACAGCACTATCATCTTTTACATTTTATGACAATATTTCATGGTTGACTAAATCATCATGCCTCAAATCTTATTTGAATATGATAAACTACTGCATTTTTAAAGAATTACAATGTATAATGTAAGTGTAATACACTTCACATTTCTGTAATCTGTATCTTTTAACACGTGTCCAGTTCAGTGAATAATATGAAGGACCTATGTTGTATGCAGTGGCTATTCATTAACAAATTTAAACAAAAACCTGCTGTGGTTTCCTACTTCATATCTCAACTAGCCTTTACTTAATATAAAACTCACTTTCGATGGAAGAATACAGTGTTCCTACCATCATATTTCTTTTTATTGCTGTGTACACACGTCTCATCCTTGTTCACTTTGAGCGAAATATACAAAAAGTACTGTATATCAAGAGAATTCTTATCATGAAATCTATGCCAAATTCTAACAGAACATGTCTACAATTTCTAACAAGATGAAGGTGTCAAAATTAGATCAAAGTGTCATCTGATAGTCATTAAAAAAATCAAGACTTCTATTTTCTATCCTTTCCAATTCATCAAAAGTTAATATAAAAATATTTAATGGTGGGTTTTAAAAAATCTTTCAAATTCAGGGCTGATGACACATTAAAAGCTTAATCATGGAATAATGACAAAAAACAAGAACAATCCACTGTGTTTCTAAAGAGATGACGGTTATAAATGGCATCCATTAGAAGGGCTTTGGGTAATGATCTCCAGAGAAAACGAACCATCAATCTTGCGTAGGATCAGTCTAAGCGCTAAAAGTAGGACACCCTTTCCAATTCGTGAAATATGGGCCATCTTGGGAGGATCAATATCAAAGATTTGATGAAACCTTTCAGAGTGAAAATGGAAGTGGTTAAATTGTGCACTAGTCTAACTTTGAACTACTCGAAAAGTACATTTGAAAGAAAATCTCAGGCAAAATATCATTATTTGTTGTGTAAAAAACGTGAAAATGCGAACTTTATAACGCTACTCTTTTTGTGATAAGTGTTCAGTATTACCTACAAAATGTCATATTTTAGAGGAATATTTGCCTTCTTGTGATTCTGTTTTTCTTTGTAATTTTGATGCACATGTAACAGCCACTTTCGATCACTGAGCCTCTATGTTCTGCATATCAATTTTACTTTAATTTAGCTAGACACAAAATGTTTCTTATCTTGCTTTTTCAATATTTTATTTTTAAGGCAGTTTACTGGGTCATGGGTGTATGAAGCTTTGGAGTGTTCAGTAATCCTCTCTTAATTCAATTTGACAGGAAGAAGTCGTTTCTCATTCAGATGGGCTTCTCTAGATGCCTGCATCCCTAACTACCCATCTGTAACTAAAGCCTTTCATAATATATCATTAATGAACTTTCAAGAGTGCAATCATTGAATAATATTGACTGGCCTTGATGGAGATACCAGGAAATACTACGCTTACGGAAATGATATTGACCGAGTTGATTGCAGTACAGGCAATATATCCTTGCATCTCCCATAAGATAAGCCAGTCAATATTACAATTATTACCTATATTAACTGTCAGCTTTTGCTTCCGGAATTGGACGAATGCTGGACTTGGTGATTACAAAGGCCGGTATGCTGCTACAACTACCAATGAATGCATAGAGAACTCTTTTCAAGAGATTGAATAACTTTGCTTTGGTACGGACAATGTCTCAGGTAATCACAACGGTAACAGTCTGACACAAGACACATTTGAAATCACCTTCTTGAATACATCTGATACAACGAATGCTAATGACATACTATCAGATGGTTGTAGAGTGTGACTATTGATGCAACTCATGTCTCAGGTAATCTCAATGGTAACAGTCTGACACAAGACACATTTGAAATCACCTTCTTGAATACATCTGATACAACAAATGCTAGTAACATATACTATCAATGTGACTATCGATGCAGACCCATCTATCCTCCACTCTTCTGTCTTTGGCGCACCGCGATTCTGCACCTATAGTGCAGTCCTGCATCTCATGTGGTTTATATAGATGGCATACGGACTTCGTGTTGTGCATAGAAATGTCTCGGTATGGCAGCTTGGGGGCGCCATTTTAAAGATGCATGTTCCGTCACGTAAGTGTTGCTCTACAGAAGCAACGCATTCATTGAATCGTGGACCTCCTGATCCAATATATACATGTACCTTGTTGGTGTCTTTTAATAGTTTATGGCACGCCAGGACACCGTGACCTTCGTACTCCAATGTCAAAGGTCAAAGGTCACTGTCAGATCCCGTAGTGGTTCATCTTGGTCGCACCGGCTCGGATGGACAAGAGTGAAGCCAGCAAGAGGGCGACACAACTGCTTGCAGTCAGGTAGAACGCCCAGTCTAATGTACATTCACCTGTAGCACAACAAAACAGAAGAAAAAAATAATAGAAAATTAGTTTTGAAAAAAAGAAGTAAATTCCAAGGAATTGTAGCAAATCCATGATAGCAACTAAGGGAAAAGAAAGATATATAGCAACAAATGTATTATTTTGCTACAGATTATAACAAGAAAAATCTGTACTGAAGGGGGCTCCACCACTGACTATTTTTGAAGGGAATCCGGATTGAACATTTTAAAGTCTGTATGCATGGGTTATGTAAAACTAAAATAAAATTCAGGGGTCCGGACGTATATTTTGGGTACCCAGGTGTCCTAGGAGCCTGTCAGTGCCAAGTTCTGCAACAGGGAAAGCTAGATGATTGAAAACTCTGATTGATATAAGGTTTTCATGAAAGCTGTGCATGGGATCGTTTATTTGGCATGTAATGAACGACAAAAAATGCATCATTGAGTTTTAAGAAAACATTCAGCATTCATTATAATTGTTGAATCTCTGGTCGTTATTTCTGTCCCATTCTTTCCATATTTCTCTTTCTGTATGTCTGTCTCTCTGTCTATCTGCCTTTCATGTTATTTCCCCATTTCTCTCTCTCTCTCTGTTTCTTCTTTCATCTCTTACGTCTCTCTCTCTCTCTCTCTCTCTCTGTCTCTTTCTCTCTCTCTCTCTCTCTCTCTCTCTCCCTCTCCCTCTCGCTTACTCTCTCTCTCTTTCTTTCTTTCTCTACCTGTCTGTCTCTCTCTATCTCTCTTCAGCTTCCTCTCTTCCATCCCCCCCCCCCCCCTGCCCACTACATCTGTGTCTGTCTGTCGGTCTGTCTGTCTGTCTCTCTCTCAATCTCTCCCTTGTTAAGTATCTTTCTATCTCTCTCCTTCAGACTGCCTGCAATACCTTCTTCCTCTTTGTCTGCGGCTCTAAGGCAAAATTAATAAAGACTTGACATTCAGTCCTCGAGTTTGTAACGACCTTAACCTGATCTTAAAAACCGAATAATCCCCTCCCGACCGAGCGCTACGCAATACTGTTCATCACCATCAGTCTCTCTTACCCCGGTACTAAGTACCCTCTCCCTACTTTAAAGCGCACTTCAACGGGGTCCCAACAGCTCCTCGGCAATATTACGTACCATTCAAATGTCAACCCAGCAGGCAATTAAAAATACGAAGTGGTGGGCGAAGTGGCTACAAGCCTCCTGGCATGAATAATACGAATTCATTGCTCGAACGGCTGAACATAAAGCCACATTCATATCCACTGTATTATAGTCATGTAATTAGAGCGAATGGTGGCTTATATGTACATGTACATTCATGAATGAATGAATGAACGAAAGAGAGAGTTGATATGCAGGTAATAACGTGAAAGAAACAACAGTCATTCATAGTTCAAAAAGAATATTCTTTTTGGGGAGGGGGCTTGGTGGTATTTGCATTCATTTTCTACATGTACCTAGCCTAAATTTATAATCAGATTTTTTTGGGGGGAGGCTTAGGGGCTCAACCCCCACCCCCCCCCCCCCCTAGAACTCCTGCTCAACACTGTTGCACATTGTACCACAGACTGAGTGGCCGATTTTGTAGTTAGGAATGAACATAAGTGAGAGATTGTATTATAAAAAGAAAAGTAACCTTTTAAAGAAACGGCACATTATACAAGACAAACAAGCTCACTGAAAATCTGTACACTGTACTAGTTAATTAGCATTCTCTTATCCAAGGGAAAGTCCAGTCTGATATAAGGTGCACTTTAATAGAAGCAATACAAAGTGAGGAACAGGTCAGTGAAAGTTTGAGCAAATTCTGATAAAAAATAAGCAAGTTATGAATGTTTGAAGTGGAGATCAATCAAACACAAATTGGCAACACTGTAAAGTATCTTAATATGAGGTCCTCTCCATGCAGTTTGCTATGTACATAAAATGTCATAAACTTTCATTATAATTGTAATTGATGATGGAATAGGATTCATACAGGGGTTGCATAGAAACATACTTGCAATAATTATATTCAAGGTGCATGCATGATTGAAAATGTTCTTTTTTTTAGTACGCAGCAAATTAGGATTGGGAAGAAACTTCTCGAGATACGTCACAGAGTTGCCAATTTGTGTGCTGACTACAATCATAAGTCCTCGGACCCTGATTATCCATTTGGTCTCTCTAGTATGAATGGAGCCCACGAGCGGAGACACTTGTATCGATTTCCATGTTCAAGAGTTCATTACAATAATGAGTACTTGGCCCCTGACCATCCATTTAATTTACAGAATTAATCAGCAGAAGATGTAGCCTGGCTTTTGTTTTTGTCATGAAGATGGCTTGCCCACACCGAGGCTAGGGAAAATTTATACAAAACTTGTAATCATAAAGAAAAATTGTATAGAGAATCATTTTTCACGTTCAAGAGTTGATTACAATTTATAAGTGTGTACTTGGCCCCTGACTATCGAATTGATTTACTGATACAGAATTAATCAGAGCTCAGAATAAGCCTGGTTTTTGTTTCAGTCATGAAGATTGCCATTCACACCAGGGGAAATTTATACTAAACACGTACATAGAAACGTCTTGTAAAAAAATCATCATGTATAAGTCCACAGCTGAAAAAGTATCATTCAAAGAAACATTGTATAAAAAGGCCAGTTGACAGGATAGCTTGCCAAACATGAGGGTGTGCGAACAATATGCCCCGCCCTTTTGAATGATTTTGTACGATTCCACGTTCACACTAAATGGATCCTGATTCCTTATTGAAACGATGCTCAAACATTTTTTTTCCATGTACAATGTTCAGACTATATATAGAACAAAATCCATTAGTTATTGTAACTTAATTAATTTTGCTTTTTCGTATAGCTACGCAGTGAGATTTGCTGATCTAAATGAATGGATAGGTTGGCGACTCCAAGTACGACTTATTGCTTTAATCTCTAAATTAAGAACAGAGAGAAGATGGTTACAGGCGATTTATGCAGGAACAAATAGATTGATTACTGGAAGTAGGCTTGTGAATTTGTTCTCATCTCATTATCTATGGGGGAGCTTGTGTGAATTACCTGAAGCTGAGAGCTCCACTTATCTGGGAGTGATAGGGACTTCAATGGTTAGTTCATAGTTCATAGTTCATTTTATTTCTTCTTTCACAAACATTTGTGCATAGGATTTCAAAAAAGTGACAGGCACTGCAGATTATCAATATACAAACTGTAACAAACATAATTTGAAGTGCAATATTAATATTCAACACACATCTCTTGTTATTAACTAAAGGAATTCTATAAAAAGTTACTCATGGTTCCTCAGATATAAAAGTGTCCTCAAAACATTGTTTAGAGAAATGCTGGAGAAACTTATCTAGATAATGAAAAAGCCTACTGTACTTTTGTTAATTATATTAATACAGAGCTCACAAATATTCAAGCAAATTGTTTTCACGCAGTCAGGATAAATGTATTCGCAGGTACATTGCAGCAGATCTATCGAAAGCTTTTTTAGAAAGGATGAAAACTCTGTATCTTTTGATTTTAATTATCCTAGTATATTGATAGAAATTATGGCATTTATTTCTTCTTTCACATCCATGTAATCTACATTATAGATAACTGCATTTCCTTCATTTTGATATTCATTCTCTCTTGTTCGGAATACGATTTTATAGTTCTTTAAGTTTCCTTGGTTAACTGAAATGACAATTGTAATAAAGAGAGGAATTGGTCATTTATATACCATCACCCTATCAATAGGTTATCCAATCACATCATAAAACCTGCAGCAAGTGCTACACTGTCTACTTTTGCAGTGAATCACAATATTCATTACATGTTCAACATCTAAGTTTATTAATGTTTATACATTTTTCGCTGACCTTCAAAGAAATACATGTCCAATTACATCATGAAACATGCAAGAAGTGCTATGCTTTCTACTTTTCAAGTGTATTACAATATTTATCTGTAATGTTTATCATTGTTCGCTGACCTTCAAAGACATACATGCCCATATTCCTGAATGCACCCACAAATACAGGGCTGAAGAAATCTTCATTATTCATGCGCTGCGGCAACCGATTTATCGAACATGCGAAGGAGCTCGATATTAATTTATCTATTTAGTACGGACGGAGTCTGAGGGCTCCCAGAGAGACAATCGAACTGGAGACAGGGGAATTAATGATCAATTCTTAGGATGAGCGATCGATTAATAATTTAATATCAAGCTGGATTGAGATTGGACTTCTTTGGCCTTTGTCGTACGCACATATAAATTATCTACTGGGAGTTAGAAGGGTATATGAACTCAATATAAAAGCATGTGAGTTAACGCCCTTCTGGCTCTACGGAAAACTTTCGACATCAAGTTGTGCAAGATATGTATCGTAGTGTATGTGTACTATCCCGAAACCCCTTGTAAGGAACTCAAGTCCAAAATTGAACATTATCCAATGAAAATACAACTTGATATGGAAAACTGAATTAATGTAGAATACAAATATACAGGAATAAGAAGTATTTACCCTTTGATTATTCCACAAAAGCAAATTAAAACCTCATTTTCCACGCCCCTCAAATTAGGGGTCAATTAAAGGGGTCAAATTTGCTAAAGTTACAGTGAAGACATAACATGTGGACCCCATCGGTTCACCTACATAGCTGAGGCGATGAGCCATGCTTAACTAATGCAAAGTCATTGTGAATATGCGTACTCCACGTAAGATGTTGTCATCAAGTCGATGGCACGTTTTTAGGTTGACAACTTCTGATTTTCAAAGCTTTAGATTTTGAATTTTCAGAGAGCAGATACTCTTCTGACAGACACCAATTGCAACTAATTTGTTCACTATATGGGCTGCAGCATTCAGATGTGGTGTTTTTTTTTCTTGTGTGTTCTGTTGACTCAATTTTCTGCTTAACTTGTTGCAATTCAGAAAAGGTTTCTTCATTTGCAGCAAGGTTGGGGGAGGAAAGACTTGTCTTCTCCTTTCTGTATTTGTACCTCTCTCTATACGAACTCCTGATCTCTACTTTAACATTATGGTATATTCAGCTCCCCTCTCTCTGTCTCTCTCATAATCTATCTTCTCTCTATTCTTCTTTCTAATCATCTCTCTAATTCCCAATCTAACCCCCCCCCCTCTCTGTCTGTCTGTCTCTCTCTCTTTACAATGATCTTTCTCCATCTCTCCTCTTTCACTATTTCTCCACCTTTCAAAATCTTGATCTCAATCTTGATATCTCTCTTCTTTTCTTTCTCCCCTGCCTTCGCCCCCTTCTCTCTCCATTTCAATTTTTCTCTCACTGTCTCTCTTATCATCTACCTTCTCTCTACTCATCTCTCTATTGCCCAGCCTACCTCTCTCACACTCATTCTCGCTCTCTCTTTCTCTTGCTCTTATCTCTTTCTCCAATAATCTTTCGGTTCATACCTCTTCCTCTCCTTCTCTTTCCATCTCCCTCCCTCTCTCCATCTCTCTCTCTCTGTCTCCCTCCCCTCTCCCTCTTCCCCTCCTTCTCTCCCCGGCCCCCCCACTCAGTGTTATTTAGGGTACGCATATGCGTGTTCCAACCGACCCCCCCTTTTCAGCAAAAGTCCGGTGTGTAAAGTCAATACGGCTCGACCTTTTTCTTTTGTATACGAGCCTTTTTCCGGACCCCCCCTTTTCAGCAAAAGTCCGGTGTGTAAAGTCAATACGGCTCGACCTTTTTCTTTTGTTACGAAAAGGACATTTTGGCAACACGCATGCGGTCATTTTGAAACCTGAGTGGGGGGGCCGGGCTTCTCTCCCTCTCTCTCCATCTCCCCCTCCTCCTTCTCTCTCCCTTTCTCGTTCCAATTACATGTCTGACAGGCCTGGGGCGATCAGTATAGGAATAGCATGTAATTGTCCCATCAGCTTGTCACAGTACCTATGATAGTACGAGATTACATGTAGGTGGGGGCCTTCATCACATCATCGAACAGTTCATCTCAATCAAGAATCTAGTTCTTCTAATACATGTACATAGCATCCAACTCCCACTCACAAAACTCATGTAGGAATGCCCCTTTCACAAGTACCCTAGTGCACATCATAGCAGTATCATAATAGGTGCATTATATAGGGGTTTATGAAGGAACTGAACCAATAACCTGCATTTTTCAAGTTCAAGTTCACTTTATTCCACGCCTTTCACCAACCCATGCTACTATGATGCACACTATTACAATAAAGCAATAAGAATCGTGTTCACAGGTGTTGGATGTCTGTATTCATATTACAGAACTGAAGCACTATTTTTCATGAGAACCTTTTCACAAACCCAGTATCATGTGGGGGGAATTGAGCAACCTTTGTAACTCCTTTTTATTGAAATGGGTAGGATAATGCAAAGGCCACATCAATCTCTGCAACCCCCCCCCCCCCCTCCCTCTCACTTTTCAATTAATGAACAACAGTTTTGGAATCTCATGTAAACTGAAAACACTTGCTGAAAAATTTCCCAAATTAGAAGCTTATAACCATCCTTGTTACATGTATAGATGTACATTAGATGTGGAGTTGGAAATCAAGTGCCCTTCAACAGTTAGGAAGATTCTATAACGAATTTTATAAAATCGAATGATCAATTTTTGTCTGAATAGAAAAGCTGGACACAGACACTACACATATTAATGTAAACATACAAATTTCCAACAAATATACTTATTACTGTATCACTTTCGAACACTCTGGTTCCAATCCTGTAACCTTACACATCATACGTTAAGAGTCACATGGGCGAATTCTGTGTTTAAAGGGCAATACAACCTTTGTAATAAGATCATTTGAATAAAATCAGAATTACAAGATAAACAGAATGGCGAAAGTTTGAAATGAATCGGACCAATAATAAGTTAGTAATGCTTGAAATATGAGATCACTACAGCTATGCGAATCTCCAGCTGGTAATTTTGTCAGTGGATTGTGACGAAGTTATGGGTAACTTTCTCATTTTTTCCTCCCGGATTTCATTCACACTTTCATCTGTTTGCTTCTCTGATTTGTCTGCTTTCTTCTAGAGTAGTTTGCTATCAAGGTTGGATTTCCCTTTAAATATCCATATAGGAATATCTGAAATGGTCTATTATTTTTCTTTCCGATGCCCCATTCCCTTTAAAATATGACAGAACATCCCTCTTGCTCCAATATCAGATTATATGAAAAGGTCTACAGGTGTCCTAGACATGCTTATGGTGGAGCCATATTTTTTTATCACCAGAGTCAAACTTTCTTGGTTGTTATTTCGTGACCCAGCTAAATGTGAAACAGCTTGCAGGAAGGTGTCAAAAATTAATCATCTGGCGCGGCACTGAGGCTACAAGAAAACAAGACCTGCTTCAGGCAAGCATACCTATAAGCCCGTTTTCATCAGCTTGAGATTGCCAAATATCTCGATCCCAAATTATCCAGTTAATCTGCGTCTCCATCAGCCCGCAGTTGCAATTAGCAGGATATTTGGTCGAGATAATCATCCCAAGATATCTTGGTCTAGTTTGCAAAATATCCTGCTTTTTGTCCGGTGCGTCTTCACCAGCCCGAAGACTCGCACTATGCGCGAACGCTAAGCAAAATATCTCAAGCTAATTTCTCTAGCTCGAGTTTCGAGTTTCGAGGTCGAGTCAAGAGCTGACGAAGATGCGATTTGTAACTTCAGGCTATTTTCCAAATCAGAAATAGCGGCTATTTGGCAATCTCGAGCTGATGAAGACATACCTATAAGCCTCCTTTCACATTTGGAAAATCAATTTCTAGCCATGCATTTTATCAACAGGGCTGCCTCTAATAGTGCAGAGTACAGTTAAAAAAGAGAACTTTTTGTGTGCATGAAATGTTTGTGAATTTCGCAAGTGGTTTAGGTTCATGAAGATTTCAAGCCACAAAATAACTGGATCATAAATGCCACAACAAGGAATTTTTGGTGATTTGGCCAAAGTTCCATGCTGTTGAAATTAAATGCTGTTGTTATCAATTTGCCAAAGTTTCATGTGATGAAAACGTTTGTATTTAGAGTTTTTTTAATTTTCATGCTACATGTACATTATTTGCTATTACCTGGTGCAGAGAGAGAATGAATGTCTGTATAATGCTGTATTCATTTTGATAATGATGATGTTCTAGAACAAACAACCAGATAAGTCTTATGATTGCTAATTGAGACATTTGCAGGTCCTTCAAATATACAATATAAAATTGTTGATACACTATTAACTGGCCTGCATTTTTAGTGAGGATGCAAATGGTTCCAGTGAGCTTTGGTAAAAGTACTAGAACAGTGAGATAGAAAGAAAGAGAATGAGAGAGAATGAGAGAGAGAGAGAGAGAGAGAGAGACAGAGACAGAGACAGAGACAGAGAGACAGAGAGAGAGAGAGAGAGAAAGAGAGAAAGAGAGAGCTATTGTGGTACAGGTGTGTTGAATTCCACTGACCTAGATTGGTTTTTATTGAGCCAGCCCCTTGGCAAAAGAGCACTCAACTCCCATTCTTCAAACTGTACATCAACCTGTAGCAAACATTCCTTTACAAAATAGATGTTTTTGATGTGTACAAAGTTGTCTTCTTAGGCCCATTTACATTACAGAAAAGGTAATTTGAAAAAACAAGCTGTTTTTTATGAATAAAGGTGAGACTTCCTTCTAGAAACTGTTATGCATTGCTATCAATGACATTCACTTATCCGGAGCCCCTTTTTGAATTTTGAAAGCTAAAAAAAAAATCACTCAACAGTTCCGTGTTAGTTTAAGGCAGAAATAGGCTATATGGACCATTGGATAAATAATAATAAATCCCTGGGAAAGTTGAGCTTAAAAATATGTTTCCTGTCTGTGGGCCTCTAAATATTTATAGGCTCTGGCACTGGAGGGCTAGAGTTCATGAGAAAAATGAAAAACAAATCATACTTTTTGACAGATGACAAATGAATGTAAACGCAAGAATGTCAAAGTGTTAGTAGAAGGGGTATTCTGACTTTTACTAAGTTTTAGCAAATAATTCCTCACATGCTAGATCTAGATTGTGTTTCCTTCTCATTATTTTACTCTAAAGCTTCCCATTCCTCTCTCTCTCTCTCTCTCTCTCTCTCTCTCTCTCGTATTTCTTTATGATACTCACTATTTCACACTCTCTGTCTGTCTGTCTGTCTGTCTGTGTCTGTCTCTATGTCTCTCTTTGTTTCTCATCCTATTCATCTCAAGCTATTATTATATCTCTCCCTCATTTTTCTCTTCTCCAACCTCCCCTCTTCTCTCCCAACTGCTCTCTTTGTTTTCCTTTCTCCTTCACTTCCTCATTCTTCCCCCTCCCGCTCTTTCTCCCTCCCTCTTCCTCTCTCTTTTTTCACTTTATTTCTCTCAAGCTGTCCTTATACCACATCTCTTCCTCATGTTTCTCTACTTCTCTCTCACCTTCCATCTTCCTTCTCTCCCAACCTCTCCCTTTGATTTCCTTACTCCTTCATTCAACCTCTCCCTCCCTCTCCCTCTTCATTTCTAACTTTATTCCTCTCAAGCTGTTCTTTCACGCTGTCCTTATAGTAAACACAACTCTTCCTCTTTTTTCTCTACTTCCTCTAGCTCCCACCTTCCCTCTTCCTTCTCTCCCAATTACCTCTGTCTTTGCTTTCCTTTCTCCTTCACTTGTTATACTAATTTTATATCACAATCCATCTACTCAGGTAGGTCTTTCATTAGTGTATGTGCTTAATAAAAATGAACACCTCAGTAGAACAAACAAAACATGAACTAAACTGAACCTCTTGAACCAATACACTTGTTTGAACATGTCAACTCAATCAACACAATTCATAGTGTCAATATAGAGTTGCCAATTTGAGAAGGGCAGGGCATTCAAAATAAAAAAAAGATTTACCTAAGTTGAACGGCGCTGACGTTCCTCCGCATGCCTCTTTGACCTGTATGTGACTCCATCCATTCGGATATAACACACATCCAACTGCAATAAGAAGAGCTGTAAGAATAAAAGAGAAAGAAATGATTTATTTAATATCATAATTAATAATCAATAGTTCAGAAGTAATCTCCCTATCACATGTAACACAGGAAACCACCAAAAAAGATCAAAATGTTGGCAAATCAAATTGACATGAGCCTGATATGCTTCAGACGTCTATATCTTATATTTTATTATAACATAAAACACACACCTAACTGCTATGCTAAGAGCTGCAAGATAAAAGAGATAAGACACTTCTAAAAGAAAGTACTGTTCACATAAATTATGATGGAGTGAACTGCCTTAAAAAGCTGCCACCACAAATTAAATGGCATTTATAAGGCAAATAAGCTTCAGATGTATATACACATAATGTATCTTAAAACTCATACCCAACTCTATAAGAAGATCAAAAAGAGAGAGAAGGTAGACATTTTCAAAATGGTAGGGTCAGCCTTTATTAAAATCACATAGAGTTGAAGATTGTAGCAAGAGGGGGGGGGGGGGGGGGGGGGGGATAAGCATTGGGTGAAAATATTAAAAGGGCCATTGGCCCCCTGCCCCTGTCTATTTCATTTACACGCTATAAATGTTAAGGAAGGCAGGACAAAGCCCCCTATTGAGAAAAAAAAGATGAAAGAGCCATATACAGACCCTTATAGGTCCCCTATCCCATTTTAGACACCAAAAGCAAAAACTAAGCATATACCGGTATACATCTATTTGTCTGCCTGCTAAATGCATAGAACAAGATTGACAGCCAACCACACCATTAAAACTCAATATAAACCACTTTACTAGTTACCCCTATTCTTTAAAAGAACGATTTATATGATACAAAAATAAAAGTCAAAGGAGTTGCACTTTTGGTAGTTCCCCAAGATTTGACATTATAGTCGATTGCTTGGAGCAGAAACCTCCATTAGGGGTGCCAAAGCATACCCTTAGGTCTAAAAAGTGACCCTTCTAAAAAGTACTGGGCCTTCTATAAAGAGAATCTTAATACCTCAAACAGTAGACCAAATATTTGCACAACCATAACAGGCAGTGGATAATTTAGGAGCAATAGTCCGAGTTGAATAATTCTTGAATTTCTTTCTCTCTCTCTCGCTTTTAAAAATTCCTTATTTTGCACCTCAAGTCAAACCATCTGTTGTCTGAAAGCCAACTAGCCTAAGGTCCATTTGGTAAGGTTTGGAAGCATGTACATGTACATGCATAATACAACATGCATGTGAGATGTATGTGCCATGAAGATGGTTAATACTGAAATGCTAATCATATATCCCGTTAATGGCAACCATATTTCCTTCTTTTTTCTTTCTTTCTTCCACGGCCCCCCCTCCCAATTTTTTCCTCTGTTTTCTCATCCCTCTCACTTTTCCTTTCTCTTCTTCTTATTCTTTTTATTCCTTTTAGTCTAATTACTGAATGTCTTAAATTCATATTTGATTGTTTTACAATTGAACCATTTGTATGTGTTCTTTATATGTAGCAGTTCTAATTGTGAATTAAAGATGTGTCAGCTTTTGGCTAAAAAAACATTACCATTTCAATTCAATTAAATAATGAATAAAAGAAAATGTTCTCAATGTTTATAGGGAATACACTGTAGAACCTACATCAATGGAAATGTGAGTACCATACATGTATGTGCCTTCTGCTGTTTGGAATGTTGCAATAGGTTTTCATTTATTCAACTTTATTTTACTAGCTGAGCCTACATGTATCTACAAGTTATATATGATAAACTATTCATAATCAGTATTACTTCAATTTATGACAATTTCTTTAAAAATATGAGAACTCAAGATTGTGTTACATGATTTGTAAAATCCTCATTTCTCCAATATTAACAGGGTCAATAAATATAGAGGGGGCCTATAAAAGGTGAAAATACTTTTTAATGTGAACCAATCGTATACTACAATCTGACAAAATATCTCTCATTACTAGCATTTCATATACATATTAGTATTTCACTTCAAGGCCTCCACACGTAACGTAGTTCAAGTTGTACACCTTTACTCACGGTCAGTCTTTCCTGTTTACTCAATATTTATGGAATGTTTGAATGGTGGTTATGGGCTGTCAGTTTGAGGTTTTGCGCCAACCGCAAAAGATTGCAATCTCGGATCATCTCTATTGAGTATTTGCCAACAGCTTCCTATAAAGGTGCTACTATAGGTTACCTTCACACAGCCTTATTGGTCCATTCAGACCGGAGGAATGATATCGTATGAATTTCTTATGAAGAAACGTCGAATCAAGAATCCTCATATGGCAAAAGGGGTGTACGCAGTGGATATCAATATCGTATAAAGAAACAAATTTTGAAGAAGTCAATTGAACGATTATCGTACGATATGACGTTCAGACTAGATTCAGATAGTGTAATGCTACGATGACAAACGTTCGTACGAACGATAATTTCGTACAAATCTCCGTTTTTTCCATCGTCTTCCCGAATTTTTTGTTGTCTGAAAATCGTTCGTACGGCATTCGTAGCAGTTCGTAATGGCATTTGTGACCGAGGCTTAAATGGTACATTAAAAAAGGGTATTAAAGATAAACTTGTTCTGGTAAAAAAAGAAAATGAATTCTCACAGAATCTAACGAAACTTACACTGAATGTTCAAGATTACAAATAAATGTCATGTGCCAAACAATTTTGGAAGAAAATGTATACTGGCTGAGTAATGAGCATAGAAAGATAAGGAAATCAGGGAAGTACTAGCCCCGACACCATGTGTGTTGTCCCATATACACCTTTCTGTGTAAGTGATTGTTACTTTACCATGCAAGACTCTGCCAAATTTATGATGATTTTGATCACTCCAGAACCTTGCATTACACACCATTACTTACATGCTATATGATCAACTTTTCTGATCCATTCCACACCTTTTCTTTCACAATGCAATCGCATTACCAGAACTCAAGTTTATCTTTAACTCTTTATAAAACTATATGAGTTGAAGTACCCCTTCTGGCTCATAAAAGATTCTACAACAAACATAAGCTGCGTTTACACTGCAAGCAAAAATCGTAGATTCTCACATTCCAGTGTTTTCGTCGGAAGTTGCTTAGCAACTATCGGCAAACACAATGAAAAACCAAAATCAAAAAGTCCACCTCTGGAGTAAGGTTTTCTGAAATGGCGCCAGAAATTTAACAGATTTTGGCAGTGAAAATATGCTTGGTCTAAAATATTTGTGAATGATCCTGATTTTCAGTCATGTGACTCTCCGGCTTGCTCCCGTGCAATTACATTCAGAGCAGCAACCAGTCGCACATGCGCACTATATGCACCAAAAAATTGGAATGAGCAAATTACCAATACATTTTTTGTGGGTTTTCCTGGTAGTGTGAATAGCAGTACCAAAAAAAATTTGATGTAAATGCATGGGCTTATATTGCCTTTGAAACTGAACCATTGTTAATCGTCAGTTAAAGGTATTCTGTAAGCAATGAATTTCCTTTATGTAGACAAACATTTTGTAACATTGCTGTTCAGCAAGGCGAATCTTTTGTCAGATTTCGCCTTAAAGTATGACAGCTACATGAAATATGTACGTGCATGTTCATCATGCATATCACCTTTTAGATATGTGATCTATATGTATATTACTTCTGAAAAATGCAACAAAGAAATAATCCAAATGTACAGAGAGAGGGATTGGTAGATAGATAAAGTAAATTGATAGAGAGATCTATAGAGAGAGATAAAGATAGAGAGAGAGAGAGAGATAGAGAGAGAAAGACAGGAGAAAGAGAGATAGACAGACAGAGAGACGAAATTGGAGGTTTCTTTTCCCTATTTTCTATTATTTTTTATGTCATAAAATTTGCCTGCTAACATCTAAGTGAATGTATGTACAGAAAACTACACATCATAAATTTCATGTCATCTCCCACTACCGGTAATTGTATTCATTACTAGCAATGTAGACATGAGTAAGTATGATCAAGAGGTAAGTTTCGATAAATGATAAATTAGTTTAATTTTCTGGCCTAGTAACCTTTCCTCCATACCCCTTCATAAAATGTAAGAGGCAGACCAAATGGAAAACTAAAATCAATTTCTTTGAAACAATTCTAATTCAAATTTCCGCCTCGTTTGTTGGACAACGTGTAATTTATCTCCCTCAACTCAAGGAAACACGATGATTCCAGTGATAAATCACCATTAAACAAACATTTCAAGTGTATTCACACACTGGTGAGCAATCTAATTGTCTGTCTGTCTGTCTTTTGTACTCGAGCAGGTATCCATGGGGGAGGAGGGAGGGGTCTAGTTTAATGAGAAAATGTGTTGAGTTGGGAGTCATGTCATTTTGTTTTCATTCTATTTTCCTCTTTCCTCTTTCTCTCCTCTTTCTCTCCTATAATAATAATAATGATATTTTGTTCTTGCATAGCGCATGTCACATTATAACGTTTATATGTGCTTCCAAAGAGCTTTGGAAATCTCCCCCCCCCACCCTCTCCCGGTGGGGTCACTCCCCTGCAAAGAGTGACCTCTCTCTCTCTCTCCCCCCCCCCCCCCTCCTTTTGTATTTAATATAAATTTTTGCCATTTGATGGGGGGATGTTTAAAATTAGTTCTCTTATTTCAGCAGTGCATCTATGACATTTATATTCTCTTTAAGTACATCAGGCCTTTTCCCTTTATCATATGAAAAGTTATATTCTATTTTTGCAGAGAGATATTTATGTGAAAACCAACTTGGGCACTCAGAGAAACACAAATACACCTAATATTTTACACCAGTTTTCTCTGGAGAGTGATGAATGAAGAAGTGAATAAATGAAAGAAATAAACATCGATATGCTCAAAATTCTATCCTACTTTTCTCTAGACGGTAATGAACGAAAATAGAAAAAAAAGTAGAAATAAACACCAATACAGCCAACATTTTATCCCGTTTCTTAAGATAGTCATTGATGTCCTTGAAGTCAAAAGGACCTCTAAATTGTCTCTATTAGTTCTCGATGTGTACACAAGTCTCCGG